GTATATTTATAAAGACTAACTTGGGGAAAGCAGACTTGTTCTATTTATGTAGCATAACCTATAGTTTACTGGCAAATTACTGGTTTTCATTAGGCATGATTCGTATTAACTCAGGACATTTAATTGAGACAAGCGCACACTGACAAACCAGCACAAACGTTTTAATCATTCAACTATTATCGTAGTTTCAGCACAGCAAGAAAAATTTGTTATTGAAAATACCAAAGAAAAAAACTTGCAGTGTAGGAGTTATTACTTGTTATGTTATGTGCTATTTTAATATATATTTTATAAGTATGTGCCAGGGCTTCATTTTCTGTGCCTCATACTTTCTCTGCTTGCTTGCTTACTGTTGATCTCATTACCACCTAACCACATATCCAGTCCATATATATATATATATATAAAACATGGACATCTCATGGGTCACCAATGAGCTTTGTTTTTCTGTATTCTCCCATGCTTCCCTCATTACTTGGCACATAAATATAGAGGAATGACTGGTTGGAGAAGGCGAGTGCTCTACAGTTTGAGAATTGCTGAGTTTAAAAAGATGCACTAAATCAAATCAAGCAGCAATGATATGTGATATGTGAAAGAGAATTTCACAAGGGTGAAATTAATCTGTTTTCCTTTTACCTTATTTCATAATGAAATGGTGAGTCTAACCAGGTGCTGGTTGGTGGCTCACGACAGTAATCCTACCTACTCAGAGGCTGAGATCTGAGGATGGAAGCTCAAAGCCAGTAGAGACTGGAATTCTTATCTCCAATTAATCCCTCGAAAACTAGAAGTGCAGCTGAGGCTCATCCGGGTGGAGCTCTAGCCTTGAGCAAAATAGCTCTGGGACCCCACCTAGACCCCATGACTGATAGAAGGAAGGAAGGAAGGAGTCTTAAGAGTTCAGTGAAATTAAAGAGAAAAAGAAGAAAGCAAAGAAGGAGAAAGGGAAAGGTTTACTTTGTTCCCCAAACCCAGCTTATTGTATTCAAATTCCTGTATTAGCATCTTTAACAAAAGATAAGAGCATTCTCCCTTTCTGCAACAAAGCTGATGTGAACCCTGAGGATATTTACAGCCATCCAGGCCAAGGCCTTAGGCTCAGGCTAGGCCAAGTAGTCTTTTTCACTAGTGTAATTCCAGTCAAAATCTAAGTGTGGGAAGCTCTAAGGTCCACATTCATAGGGACCCTGAAGAAATCCATCTGGCATGTGTTCTCAACTTGAGACAAGCAAAGGCGCCAACTTCCAAGGATTATGTGTGCCGAAAAGAAAGACTTTGTCCCAGAAAATTCATAAAGTAGGCAAATTCTTCAGGGCTTCAGTGAGTTTCCCTCCTCCCCTCCCTCTTTTCCTCCTTTCCTTCCATCTTTCCTTCCTTTTTTGAGACAAGATCGCAGTGATTATCTCAGGCTGGACTCAAACTAGCTATTCCTGCTTCAGTCCCCAAAGTGTTGAGATTACAGGTGTGTGCTGCCACACCTTGCTCCAGAGAATTGTTTTCTAAAATTTAGGATATTTGAATGCACAAAAGCTCCAAGATGGCTTCCTTTTTACATACTAGGATACACTTACTGCCCAGGATATTATAAGAGTGTCCACCAGGTTCCTGGTCTCTGGCTTGGCATAGAGAGTAAGTCCTTCACAAAAAGGTAGAATAGTGTGGGAGGGAAGGGATGGTAGGGGAAAAACAGAGGAGGAGGCAACAATGCTCAATAGGAAATGTACTCATTACCTTGCTCATGTAACTGTAACCCTTCTGTACAATATTTTTACAATAAAAATATACAAAAAGACCCAGACCTGCACAAAAAGAAAAGAAAGGTACAATATCTTCCCTCTACCACTTTAAAAGTCAGAACCATCTATAGCTTCACTCTTAACAAGGGTTAAGAGCAAATGAGGATCCCATAGGAAGGTACTTCTCACATGAAGAAAAGTGATTGTATTGATCGTGTTGATCATATGCTACCTGCTAGGGACACTAGCCCTAAATTCTTGTCTCAGCTATCAAAATAGAAAACAACCTATCTGAGGAAGAAGCAAACTGAGTTAATCAGACTCTAAGACTTAGACTAATCGTTGATCAAGTAAAAGCACAGTATTCAAAGTCTAAGAACCTCCTGCTGGCTCTAGTTCTCAGAAATCTGTTTAGCAGAGTTAATATTTCACAAAGTTGTGGGGGGCTTAGTTATAAAGCACAAAAGGTTTGGAGACTTATGGTTTTTATTGAATTCTGTCATTAGTTACCTGATAAGGTACACTAGTTGCTTCTCTGTCTTACTCTCCTCATTTATAAGACAAAGGAAAGAAATAAAGTACAGACAATCAAATTAGGGCTGTCCTGAAATGAAAGTGGTATGTGTGTGTGTGTGTGTGTGTGTGTGTGTGTGTGTGTGTGCATACATGTGTACTGATCCTGGGGCTTGAACTCAGTGCCTAGGTGTTGTCTCTGAGCTATTTTGCTCAAGACTAGCTCTCTATCACTTGAGCCACAGCTCCACTTTCAGGGGTTTTTTTGGTAGTTTATTGGAGATAAAAGTCTCATAGACTTTCTTGCCTGGCTGACTTCAAACCACAATCCTCAGCTCTCAGCCTCCTATTTATTTTAAGGTATAGAAGGGAGATTTTTTTCCTTCAGAGTGGCTTAAAATAGCTTCAAAAATAGGCTTAGAAATTTCAGAGGTATGGCAAAATTCAAAGGTGGAAAAGGACCACTGCATCAAAGAGTCATGCTAAATTGGGAGCTGGTGGCTCATGCCTGTAATCCTAGCTACTCAGGTGTCTGAGATCTGAGGATTGGGGTTCAAAGGCTGCCAGGGCAAAAGGGTCTGTTAGACTCTTATTTCCAATTAACCACCTAAAAACTGGAAGTGGAGCTATGGCGCAAGGTGGTAGAGTGCTAGCCTTGAGCAAAAAAGTTCAGGGACAGGGTCCAGGCCCTGAGTTTAAGCTCCAGGACTGACAAAAAAAAAGTCTAAGCTAAAGATAGGCAACTGTGGCTCATACCTGTAATCCTCAGGAGGCTGAGATCTGAGCCTTTGAGCAAGAGGAGCTCAGGCACAGTGCCCAGGCCCAGAGTTCAACCCTCAGGACCAGAATAATTAATTAATTAAAAAAGAACTTTTATTAGCTCTAAATTTTTTTTTGATGAATGGCTCATAGTTAATAGACTGTTTTTCTTCCTGGTCCTGGGGCTTGAACTCAGAGCTTGGGCCACCTCCCTAAACTACTTTTGCTCAAGGCTTGTGCTCTACTACTTGAGAGCCCTAGGGCTACTTCCGACTTTTTCTTTGTAGTTTATTGGAGATAAGAGTCACACAGACTTTCCTGCGTAATAGATTGTTGTTGTTGTTTAAGAATTTCCAAACAGGGCTGGGAAGGTGGCTCAGTGGTAGAGCACTTGCCTTGCATGCCCTGAGGCCCTGGGTTCGATTCCTCAGCACCACATAAGCAAAAAGAAAAAAAAAGCCGGAAGTGGCGCTGTGGCTCAAGTGGTAGAGCGCTAGCCTTGAGCTGAAGAGCTGAGGGACAGCGCCCAAGCCCAGAGTTCAGGCCCCATGACTGACCCAAAAAACAAAAAAACAAAAACAAAAAGACACACAGAGCCAGACGCTGGTGGCTCATGCCTGTGATCCAGCTACTCAGGAGGCTGAGATATGAGGATTGTGGTTTGAAGCCTGCTAGGGCAGGAAGGCTGTCAGACTCTTATCTCCAATTAAGCACCAGAAAACGAGAAGTGGAACTGTGGCTCAAAGTGGTAGAGGGCTAACCTTGAGCAAAAAAAAAAAAAAAAAAAAGAATTTCCAAACATTTCCCAAGTCATGGTGCATCCAATAACTTTTTCAGATGATGCTTTCTCATTTTTCGTTTATCCTTGGATTTGCCCTGACCTATTGAGGTGTCCGAAGAAGTGACAGATCCACTCCACTTCTTCAGCACCTTGTCCGCCCCTCGGTTTTATTCCCAGCCACACTCAAAACAGACAAGGCGGCGTGTCCGTCCCGTTTCCACTACGAGCTCTGCGCGTTTACAAGTGCGGTGCGCTGGCTTTTGGAACGCCTTTCTGATTGGCGGAGCCCAGGCCAGTGACGTCAACCAACTTACTTTTGATTGGAAGGCTGGTTGCTGGGACTGTAGCGTTTGCAGGAAGTCACTTAACTGTTTGCGGGCTGGAAAGTCGGAGCTGAGTTGTCTGGGGGTTTTTTTTTTTGAATAATTACGATCATTTCTTAATCACAGGAACAAGTGCAACTGACTGACTAGGGGAGGTGGATCCCAAAGCTCCGCAAGGTGGAATTGGAACCCCCTTTGGACCAGGAGCCCCCCCTCACCCCCCACAGCCCAGCCTCCCGGGCGGTTACCCTTTTAAATGTCAGCGCTCGGGGCTGTCGGGGTAGCACGAGGCGGCGGGACGGAGGAGTCGGATTGGCCCGCACGCCTCGGCTCCGGACGCCCCCCTCTCCACCTAAAAGGCCCTGCTGCTGGCGAGGCGGGGTGGGAGAGGGAGGGAAAGTAAACAGAGGTGAATCACCCTCCCCGCTGGCCAATCGGAGGGGGTTTGGACTGTGACGTGATGGGATCCTGCGAAACTGTTCCCGAGCCGGAGAATGCCGGAACGGCGCGGACCGGCCGGAGCGCGGGGGCTCAGAAGCCGTCGGTGGAGCGGAGGAAAAGTGTCTCCGAGAACCGGCGCTCGGCCGGGCCCTGACTCACCACCCCGCCAGGGGTTCGCCTGAACGCCCCGGAGTTTGCGGGCTGGACGGACCGCCGCCGATCGAGGGCGTGCGCGCGTTCTCCCTGCGCCCCGAGGGCGGGGGGCGGGCGGGGAGGCGTTGTCAGTGGAATAAACTTGCGACCGCCACGTGTGGCAGCGTTCCAGAGGGGAACCGGCTTGCCGAGGCCGGCGCGCCCGTCGGGGAGGGCGGAGGGGGATCGCGCCCGGCGCGGGGCAGGGCCGGGCAGGGCGGCGGCGGCGGCGGCGGCGCGAGCGGAGGAGCCCCGGGGCCCGTGGATGCTGCGTGCGGAGGCGCTGCCGGTTACGTAAAGATGAGGGGCTGAGGTCGCCTCGGCGCTCCTGCGAGTCGGAAGCGCCCGCGCCCCCGCCCCCTTGGCCGCACCGCGCCGCGCCGCGCCGCGCCGCTGCTTAGTCGTCCGAGGCCAGGGCCCGGGGCGAGCCGGAGCTCCGCAGCCGCCGTCAACTTTGGCCGCGCCGGGGCCGCCCGTCGCCCGCACCATGTCCGCGGCCGCCTATATGGACTTCGTGGCCGCCCAGTGTCTGGTGTCCATCTCGAACCGCGCTGCGGTACCGGAGCACGGGGGCGTTCCGGATCCCGAGCGCGAGGGGACCAAGGAGCACGGCGACCCGGGGGACACCTGGAAGGATTACTGCACGCTCGTCACCATCGCCAAGAGCTTACTGGACCTGAACAAGTACCGGCCCATCCAGACCCCCTCGGTGTGCAGCGACAGTCTGGAGAGTCCCGACGACGACCTGGGCTCCGACAGCGACGTGACCACCGAATCTGGGTCGAGTCCTTCCCACAGCCCCGAGGAGAGACAGGATTCTGGCAGCGCGCCCAGCCCGCTCTCCCTCCTCCACCCCGGCGTGGCCGCGAAGGGGAAACACGCCTCCGAGAAGAGGCACAAGTGCCCCTACAGTGGCTGTGGGAAAGTCTATGGAAAATCCTCCCATCTCAAAGCCCATTACAGAGTGCATACAGGTTAGCCGCGCGCGCCCCGACCCCGGCCCTGACCCGGGCCGGCCAGCGCCCCAGGGGCGCACGGGACCCCCCCCCCGGCCGGGTGGTGGGCCGAGCTGCTGTTGAATTCTTGGAACTTGCTCCTTCATTGATTCCCTACCCCCTCCCGCCCCCCCCCCACCTGGGAGCAAACTCTGCCCTGCTGGGCCGTGCGGTGCGGTGCGGTGTGTGCGTGGCGCGGCGGGGAGCCGGGCCCCGCCCCGCCCCTGGGCCTGCCCCGCCCCTCCCCCGCCGCACCCCGTGGGGCTGCTGTCCTCCCCCTCTCCCCCCCCTCCACCTGGGAAGAGAAAGCTTAAGACGGGAGGGATCGGATGGCGGGTCTTTGTTGTTATGGTTATTATTATTGTTGTTGTTGTTTTCCTCTCTGGGGGTGGGGGTGGTTCGCTTCCACCCCTAAGCTGCGAGGGCTGCGTGGTTTCCACGTGACTTGGGTGGCGCGGGCCACCTCTAGGTGGATGGTTCTGGTGGAGGTGTGGTCTCAGCCAGAGGTCAAGGCTCCAGAATGGAGTGAGGTGCGGCCTGCTGGCACCTGAGTGGATGGACAGACAGACACCACCTGGGCAGGACAGGCTGGGGGGGGTGGTCAGGGAGTTGAGTCTGCCCACTTGGTGGTTTCTAGTAAACATGAACGGGACTCATTGGCATCTATCCGCTTGTGGACATGTTGTCTGACAGTGTCCACGAAGGATCCCTCGGGCTGGGCCTGGTTTTCTGATGACACAGGATGTGTTCTCCCCGTGTCCTGTGACACGAAGCTCTTGGTGGATTGATTTACTATTATTGTCGTGTGTGTTGATGTAATGGGTAGGTGTTTTGGAAAAGTGACCCTGGCAAGGGGGGGGGCTTTCATTTCAAAATTCTGATTTTCCATCTTGTTTTGCTTTGCTTTTTCAAAGAAAGGCTATGTCGCTGCCCCCTTACCCCCACCCCCTCCACACACACCCTCTTCCTTTGGAAGAGATTCGTGTGGAGGTGGCTGCTGGCACCAAAATAAATCTGAATTTCCTCCGTGATTAATGCCAAATCAGGTTCCCTGGGGGATCAGCCTTGAGGTTGTCACTTAAAACAGTAACTTGGAAAGTTTGTGTCTGTGAGGTTGATGAGAGGCAGATGCCCACTTTGGGTGATTTTTAGGGTGGCTGTGGGGTGGGGGTGAAGCAGGAGTGTGTATTCATGGAGGGTGTTACTCACCAACAGCTGCTGGGCGGGCCTGGCTGTGTCAGCCATGTTCCCAGAGTTCAGTTGCTCCTGTCCACCCCGCACTGCCACCTTGAGCAAAGGCATTTTCTCCTTCAGGGAGCTGCCCAGTGGTGCAGCTGTGAAGGGCTGCAGAGGCTTGAGGAGCTCCAGAGCCTGTCTGACTCAGGAACAGGAGGGCTTCCAGCATTCTGGGGCCATGCAGCTGAGTGCTTTGCTCAGTCATTTATAGAAATGGCTGCTTCTGAGTGCGTGTCTGCGTGCTGCCCGTTAATTCTCCATAAGGCAAGTTGGCTTAGCTGTTCCAGGAGACCCTTTTGCACAGTCCATGCGGGGGAAAAAAGAAGCAAAAGAAATGTTCGTCTGGTTTTAAAGGCTACAGTCATTTGTTGTTGTTGAAACTAGTGAGATGGTGATGGAAGAGGTCTTACACTGACGTTGGGGAAAGCAGGGGAGGGGTGGGAAGGGAATGGCTCTATCATCCCAGGAAATGGTTGGGCAAAATCTTTAGCTTCTCTAGATATTGGCAGAAGCCTGTTTCGTACCTCTGAAGTTCCAGTTAACTTCAAGTTAGATCTCAGTGGTTTTTTGTTTTTGTTTCTGCTGGTTCCAGAAGGTAGACACAAAGCTAGCGTTCTGGAATTACCTGCCTCCTGTAAAGATCCCAAGAGCCAAGGTGCTTGCCACACCCCCAGATTCCCTGCTACTCACCAGTTCCCTGGAGAGTCTCCTGCTCCCCAGTTTCCTTACAGAGCCTTCCATGAACCAGCAGCTTTAGAAGTTGAATCATTCGGACACATTTTCCTTTCATCCAGGGCAGCCCCTTCCATACTGTCCTGTGAGGAAAGACACAGTGGAGGCTGACGGAGCTGCCTTCTCTTAGTGCTAAGAGCCTAAGCAAGGGACTTGGATTGAGAGGCTGCAAACTGGAGGCCTGCTGTTGAATTTGCGTTGCAGATTTGTTGGCTGTGGCCCACATAGGGTTTATAAAAATTTCATTGCTTACCAACATCGAAAAATCAGGATCTGAGCACAAGTCCAGATTTCTGGCTTCTGCAGATTTGTCTTTAGGGTGAAAGTGAGCAATTTGTGCTCTGGGGGACAGGGTGGGGGGAAGGGGGCAAGGTCTCATGGTGCAGCCAGGGCGGCTTTGAGTGTGAGATCCTTCAGCGTGAGTGTGAGATCCTCCGGCCTTAATTTCCCAAGTGCTGGGATGACAGATGTATGTCCTTCCTATTTTAATCGTTTACGTGATCTCTGCTGGCATTTAGGTTTGCAGTCTCTACTTGGAGCCCCGGCTTGTTAACATACAATACAAGGAGACTAGTCTAAGCTTACCAGTTATTGTGCAAAAACCTCAAGTGGTAGCTCATTTCTCTTTTTGCTATTTGAATATTTTCCTGCGATGCTTAGACTTGCTGGCTGAAGGGACTCGTACGATCTCCCCCCTCGGAAGCTGATATCTGCTACTCGGAAATTAATTCTACAACCATTCCTGGCCAACTCTAACTCAGGTTGCCCTAAGCCTATTGCATTCCACACCCCTAGCTTTGGAGTCAACTATTGGATTAAGAAGAGTCTAGTGTCATCAGCTATGCGATGAGAACTGTCTCTCAGGACTGGGAATGTAATTCATTGCATGCCCAAGGCTCTGGGTTTATTCTCCAGCACCAGAACCAATACCAAGCAGGGCCCAGATCCTAGTCTTGCTCCCTAGGCCTCAGCAGCCCACGAAAAGCATTTCCCAGTCCTTGTCACTTTCTCCTCTCAGCCTGAGTGGAAGGGAAGTACTAAGGTAGTCCCTAAGGAAGTCTGCTTTGCCCATTTCCTTTCCCATGGCTCCCCAGGGGGATGTGGAATGGTATTTCACACCTGGCATGCTTCCTTAAATTGGATTCATGACTAAGCCTAAAGGGGGTTTACCCAGGTAACTGTTTCTCTACCTCCCGCCCCCCCATATTCTCGCCCCCAAGGAGACAAGACAATTTTATAACTGCCCAACCCATCTCCCATGAAATTTTAATACCACCACAACATTATCGAGCTATTTATAGACCTGCTCCTTTATAAGGACACAAATCATTATAATAGGTAAGATTGTTTACACTTACCAAAGAAGTAAATTTTACCCCCTTGGGGATGATGTCACCCCACCCATACCCAGTAGGACTGTCTACGCTCACTTTCAAGAGTCCTGTTAAAGAGCAATGACAGCTCAGCTTAAGGGATATGTTCCTAAGCTTGCACAAGTTTTGCTTTTGAGTTTCAAACAAGAGAGGAAAACTCAGTTGAATCCAGGGAAAGATGGCCTTACAGCTCTACAGCTAAAATCTCTCCTAGGGAAGGAAGACCATGGCAGTTCTTGTGGGAGGACCATTACCTGTTCTTCCTCATTTCCTCTGTGTGTGTGTGTGTGTGTGTGTGTGTGTGTGTGTGTGTGTGTACACTAAGGCTTAAAGTCATGGCCTCACACTCTCACTTGGCTTTGTCTCTCAAGATTGGCACAGAAGTTAGGCCACACCCACTTACGCTACACACCTACTTCTGGCTTTTTGCTGGCCAGTTGGAGGCTCACAAGAGGATCACAAACATTTTTTGCCTAGATTGGCTCATGATCTTTGGATCTCAGCTTCCTGCATAGCTAGCTAGAATTTACAGGCATGAGCCACCAGCGCCCAGCTTTCCCCCCTCATTTCTTTCTTGTCTGCAGCTAATCTGCTCTAGCACTGCGAAAGTAGTTGCCTTGGCTTCTGCAAGGCTGGCTGCATGTGTGCTTCTCAGCAGAAAGCGCAACTGGAGTAAAATTATAGTGCACACAGGTCATTTCCTTGACTTTCCTCCCAGAGGCGTTGGATGGTGAAGAGGGAAAGGAGGTGGGAGTGGGAACTCTGGGAGGGAAAGAAGGCTCCAGATAAACAAGACCCTCTGAATGGGGCTATCCCATTACTGTCCGAGGCAAAGATAGAACCTAAGGGAGTGGAATCCTTGGATTTGGGGTCAGATTTGCATTCCTGTCTCAATTGCTGACGTCTGTCTCAAGAACCAGTCATTCTGCATAGTCTGTGGGAAATTCCCAAGTTGAAATTCCCAGGGGAAAACATCACGTGACATATTGGGAAAGCGGCTGATGATGGTCTTCCCTAATAAGTTCATTGAGAGAAGTGGCGGGTGATTTCCCAGAACTTATTCTTTCAGGAGCCCCTCTAACCACAGGCGTGGTCTGGTGAGAACCTGCTTTCTAGCCCAGCAGTTGAATCTCTGAATGCTTTGTGGTCATTAGCATTCTTGATTAGAGGAAAAAAAAAAGTAAAACACACATTTCTGCTGTTCTTGTTAGTCTTGATTTCCAAATCTTCTGGATCTCTCGCTCTCCTCTCTCCCTCCCTCCCTCCCTCCCTCCCTCTCTCTCTCTCATCTGTTCTCAAGAGCTTGCATCATGCAATGCTTCTCCAGCTAGAAACCTCCTACACACCTCACCTCCCACCCTTCCCTAATGTTTCTCTAGCAAACCCAGCGCCCACTGAACAGAGTAAATTAATGCCTAGTAATTGGTACAAAGGCACTTTCTGTTTCTATGCAACACACACACACACACAAATGAGAGGCAAAAAGAAGGGGGAAAAGAAAGCAGAAAAAGCCATAGATGGTTAAAAAGGGAGCTATCCTCAATCAGTGGTCCTGGAGCACCCTGGTCGGTCCCACATTTTGGTTGAAAGTCCATAGGTATAAACACTTGGTGACAGCAATTGTCAGTATCGAAAGGA